TAAACACTTAATAGCTTATCATCATTTATATATAGTTTATATAAACAAATTATAGCTGATCATCATTTATATATAGTTTATATAAATACATAATAGTCGATCATCATTTATATATAGTTTATATAAATACATACTAGCTTGTCATCATTTATATATAGTTTATATAAACACATAATAGCTTATCATCATTTATATATAGTTTATATAAATACATAATAGCCGATCATCATTTATATATAGTTTATATAAATACATACTTGCTTATCATCATTTATATATAGTTTAAATAAACACATAATAGTCTATCATCATTTATATATAGTTTATATAAATACATAACAGCCGATCATCATTTATATATAGTTTATATAAATACATACTAGCTTGTCATCATTTATATATAGTTTATATAAACACATAATAGCTTATCATCATTTATATATAGTTTATATAAACACATAATAGCTTATCATCGTTTATATATAGTTTATATAAACAAATAATAGCTTATCATCATTTATATATAGTTTATATAAACACATAATAGCTTATCATCATTTATATATAGTTTATATAAACACATAAGAGCTTATCATCATTTATATATAGTTTATATAAACACATAATAGCTTATCATCATTTATATATAGTTCATATAAACACATAATGGCTGATCATCGTTTATATATAGTTTATATAAATACATAATAGCCGATCATCATTTATATATAGTTCATATAAACACATAATGGCTGATCATTATTTATATAAATACATAATAGCCTATCATCATTTATATATGATGCCTTTAAGGAGGCACGGTAGTCCAGTGATAGGACGCCGAGTTCGTGACTGAAGGGTTGCGGGTTCGCGCCACGGCACGGCAATGTGTTGTTTCCTTGAGCAGGATACTTAAATCCGCTTGTTCCAGTCTACTCAGCTGTAAATGAGTACTTGGTTGCGCAGTGCTAGAATTGTTGAATGCTGTTAGGGCTGAAATGGCAGCTCCGGCTGTATGCTCCCCAGGGAGTTGAGAAAGGTACTGGCTGGTTGTAAAGGCCCTATAACCACTGATAATAATTTGTGAACCGCTTTGAGACGATCTACGAACTAGGTTGTGATAAAGCGGTATACAAGAACCTCCAATTATTATCATTATTATATATAGTTTATATAAACACATAATAGTATATCATCATTTATATAAAGTTTATATAAATACATAATAGCTGATCATCATTTATATATAGTTCATATCAATATATAATTGCTGATCATAATCTATATGAAGTTTACATAAACACAAAATGGCCTATCATCTTTTATATAAATTCATAATAGTCGATCATCAGAAGTTTTATAAAGCTAATGAATACAAAAAGTGGATCTTTATATGGATATGTAATAGCCATTCACCAGAAGTTTTATGATGTCTCCCGTCACAACATGTGGCGCCTGTAATGATGTTTCCTGTTATCACATTTGGCACCCGTCATGATGTCTCCCGTCACCACATGTGGCGCCTGTAATGATGTTTCCTGTTAACACATTTGGCACCCGTCACGATGTCTCCCGTCACCACATGTGGCGCCTGTAATGATGTTTCCTGTTACCACATTTGACACCCGTCATGACGTCTCCCGTCACCACATGTGTTACCCTTCATGATGTCACCACATGTGGTACCCGTCATGATGTCTCCCGTCACCACATGTGTTACCTTTCATGATGTCACCACATGTGGTACCGGTCATGATGTCTCCGCTCACCCTTCATGATGTCACCATATGTGGTACCCTTCATGATGTCACCACATGTGTCACCCTTCATGATATCCACCATATGTCGTACCCGTCATGATGTCTCCTGTCAAAGCCACATTTCGATCACCGACCTAAGACACGGCACAAATGTGATCGACACATCACCGCTGAAAACTAGGCTATACTGATCGCCGTAAAATTCCGATCAGTGCAGATAGAGGTAATGGCTAAATATAATGTATACTTAGATTACAATCAGATTACTGTCGTTTAAAACTTCATTTTGATAATAACAATACATGATAATATAAGCAAACCGAGGTAATTTAGAACTTGCTATGTCAACTTTTCCGATTGAATACCAGTGTCAATTATATAAGTATGACATTTCAGTATTTACCGCGATTCCAAGGTTAGATATCGCACGAACAGGTCTAGTCTATTATGTGAATGAGATTAAAGGAAAAGAATGTGTTTAAGTGCCTCTAATCATAGCTGTATTACCGACATTAAACATCTACTCCCAACATTGTCGTGAACAGTGAACACAACCTTGTAATGGAAACCACACACTTGTATAGACAAGTGTTGGGGACTAAAATTTGGATATTATGACAACCCGATATTTCAACATTATAATAGCGGTCCACCATTAACACACTGCTAAAATCCCTATTATTACACACCTGACGACTCGAGCGCGGAGTAATCCCACTTAAGGTTCCCCGCACCACTGCCAAAAACTGTAATTACGCGATGGAAACTATTTTTTTCAGCATGACTATAGGTTTGATAAATCATTTCTGAAAAGAAAACCCTACCTTGTGGAACTTTCATGAAAATAACGATAAAGATAAAAGAAATCAGATATAATCAACAACAGTGCTCCTTGTTTAAAAATGAGCCATGTACTGCAGATGTTTTAGATTGTCTCTCTAACCTACACTTTATCTGGTCAATGGAAGTGTCCTGGCCCAAATCAGTGTACTGGCCCAACTCTGCTACAGTTATATCCAAACGGAAGTGTCCTGGCCCAACTCTGCTACAGTTATATCCAAACGGAAGAGTCCTGGCCCAAATCTGCTACAGTTATATCCAAACGGAAGTGTCCTGGCCAAACTGTGCTACAGTTATATCCAAACGGAAGTGTCCTGGTCCAACTCTGCTACAGTTATATCCAAACGGAAGTTTCCTGGCCCAACTGTGCTACAAACGGAAGTTAAAGGAAGGTTACATTATCTACACACACACAAAACAGTAAATCGGGACTTGGATCCTTACTAATATATTCGCCAGTCCTGACATCACATTAATTAGGGAAATAAGGAGTTATATACAATCTTCTGAACATTTCCATTGAGATCTACGTAAGATAATTTAAATGTTTAAAATGACAAATTGCTGCTTCTTGATATGAACTCAGAAATTTACTCATTTTGAATCTAATTGCGCCAACAAACTTCCCTGCAGAACTGATTATGATAAATTTGGAGAATTTTAGAGAAATTCTGTGACGCTGCAGACTCGTCTGGACATGTTGTCCGGGTTCCGGTCTGTCAAGTTGTCATTTTCGCGCTCGAGTAAAATGTATAATTTTATAACTTGTTTGTTTTTTTTGTTTGTGTTTTACGTCCTATTAACAGCTATGGTCATTTGAGGACGTGCAAGGTTTTTGGTTGCGGAGGAAAGCCGGAGTACCCGGAAAAAAACCACCGACCAGCGGCATTAAAAAAAAACTGGTGACCGCCCCACGTAGGCCTGGTACCCGCGGGCTTGTCCTCGTTAAAAAAAAAAAAAAAACATTGGGAGGAGAATGTTGTTAGAAGGATTATAGTCTGTTTGTGATTAGTACTGGCAGTATTTACCTGTATTTACCTGTGTTTTTACCTGTGGTTAACCCTTCTATCTAAGGAGGTGTTCTATCTAAGCTGGAAGCTGATCATATTGAATTTAATAATATATCAAATGCAATTTTCAGATATTAATAGCAACATTTAAAATTTAAAATATTTTAATATTAAGTTTTATAAATATATCCATTTTTATCCGAATTTGATTTTGTTAAAAAGCTAAAGAATAGATTCATATGCTCATTTGGGGAACTAGAATTGTTTTTCTGGTTTGATGCCAATTTTAGATAACTTTTTTTTTTCTTTCTAACTTTTTTTTTTTTTTTTCAAAATGCCACTGTCAATTTGGCGATTACCTCAAATGTTGAGAAAAATTGGCGCTGAAAAAGCTGACCTTTTTTGCCCGTATATCTGGACGAGATACCAATCGATCACATTGTGCAGTTAAAACGGGCAAAACATACACTGTAGCTGTCTGTTAAATAAACATGAAATATTGATATTTAAGACCAACGAAACCAGGAGTAAAATCAATTCTTGTGACAAAGCATGCAAAGGCCTGATGTTCAACAACAAATACAGACACCATGCAAAGGCCCTGAATGATATTAGACTCGATTACCTGCCTTAGTACTATTTCACTCCACTAGGCGGCGTTGTTAGATACTTGTTGTATTTTCGAAGCGAAATCAGGAAGAGGGTAGAAAAACTAAGGCAGACCACGGACTTAGATAATCTAATCCAATTCCGTGGGCAGACAGACCAATCCAGACTGATAAAAAATAAAACTTTGGCATGCGCAACAGCAATGTTTCTCAGACCTGACGTCACGAACATACAAAGGGAGATAACCATTGTATTTTCTCGTTTACGGAAAGTGCCGAGTGTTCCCGATTGGCTGTCGCCCTTTTCGTAAATATTGTGATTACGGGTACGGAATAGTGTGGCTATTTAATCGCCTATTAAATCCCCGTAAATAGCACCCATTGTCACGGGTGGTTTGTTTACGTACTGGTCGTTATGATCTCCAGTGTGTAGGGGACTAAGTCTGACCACGTAACGTTAAATATAAACGCATAGCTGTACAGAAAGTAAAACCTTGTTACAATACAATACCGACATCCACACAGGCCAAAGGATTTTAATCCTCGTAACGTATAATACCAATAAAAATTGTTCAAATAAACATCTTTTCTATTTTCATATTGGATTTATTAAAAGTAGAGAAGACTTCTATATTCCGAATTCAAACATACGAGCCGTTTACTTTATTACATTGGTAAAAAAAAAGAGTAGTTAAGCGGCCCCCGTTGAGACTGTGTGTGTGTGCCGCGCAATGGTAGGGAAACAGGTGTACTATAATTATCGACTAGGTCGGGGTCCGGGTATTATGTGTCGGGTCTCTACATGCAATCACTGATATGAACTTACATACAAACAAACAGGATACAAGTTGGTCGCTTAAGTGTTTGGGTAAGAGAGTTTACGATGGTGAAGAGGAGAATTAATTGCACCGTTGAAGCTAATGAGGCAGGTATGTCACAGATACTACACACAACCTTTACGCTTATCGGAATGTTGTGCAATTTTGACATAAATATACTACCTGTGCAAAACACATTCCTATCTATATACAAATGTAGGAGTGATCGTTAAGTTACTTGCATTTCACTTTTTGCACATTAACATAATTTCTCCCTCTTCCCTCCCTATATTGAGAATGTTTTCCCCATATGTAGTATGGAGTAATACTAGTTACCATGTTCGTATGCTAAGTCACGTATTAGCATTTACAACTGTATGCGACGTTAAACAAAGTGTATTGTTTTATAGATAGGTATCACAAACAACTTGTGTATGTGCTGAAGTGGGAATTGTCCTTTGGCCTAACTGACGATGTAAAAAACTTCCGTTGTCTGACTGTGGTACATCTGGTGTCCTTCATTGTATGGAACGGTCTGTATGTATTATTGACGATAACTTGTAGCAACACACTAGGTCGAATTTACATGGAATAGCAGCAGAACAGCTGACACCCCTCCGCCACTTACACTAACTTCTACACAATCAAAACTATATACACCATAACCGCGACGCCCCCCCCCCCCTCCACACACACACACTAAGCCCCCTCCATATACACTAAAACATATATAACTAAATATCGACTACTCCCTTCAGCGACCCCTCCCCACCACACTTAGTCCCTCCATAGACACTAAAAACATACACCTATACAGCGACCTAACCCCCCCACCCCCACCCCCCTCCATATGCCCCACAATAAATCATACACACTAACACACCTTGATAAATGTGAGTTCCACTGTCACCAGGAAGAAATTTAATAATTGATTAGACTGCAATGGATTTCCGTAGCATGGTTTAAATTCATTATACCTGCAGCAGAACAGGGCGGTCGTTATTTTACAGATGTTTACTGTCTATTGTTGTGACAAAATTGCAATCCAACTTTTAACTCGGATATAGTTTCTTACCAACAACATCGACATTGTCATATTTAAACGTAGTGAAATGATCGTTTTAACCACCGTGCTCTCAATGTGATGAAAGATTTGGCGTACAGCGCCTATACTGTGTGAAACATTTTATTTTGCGTGCAGCAACCGTTCTTTAGTAAAACATTTGGCGCAAAGCGCCTATGTACATCGCTGATACATTCGATTTACTGAAGTTAATCTTAAAATGCAAATAATTTAACGCTCAGTGTGTCTATAGAAAAGAGAAAGACCCATACAGCTACAGACCGGGAGAGAGAGACAGAGAGAAAGAAAATCATGTAGTCACAGAGACAGACAGACAGACATACATACAGACAGAACAGAGAATGATAGACAGAGAGAAAGTGACAAACAGACAAGAAAACGGAGAATGAAAGACAAAGAGAAAGTGACAGACATACAGCCAAGAAAACAGAGTATGACAGACAGACAGACAGACAGACAGACAGACAGAACAAAGAATGATAGACAGAGAGAAAGTGACAGACAGACAGACAGAACAGAGAATGATAGACAGAGAGAAAGTGACAGACAGACAGACAGACATACAAGAAAACGGAGAATGAAAGACAGACAGACAAGAAAATAGAGAATGACAGAGATAAAGTTACACACTGACAGACAGATACACAGACAGACAAGTTAACAGAGAATGACAAACAGACGGACGGACGGAATTTACTTGTAAATAAATACAAATATCGATGTAAATGTTGTAATGTTGGACAATAAGTGTGTATATGACACGTGTTACATGGCAAACATGATGACAGGTAAAGTAGCTCATATTCATTTCACTGGCGAAATGCCTCCGACAGAGTAGAGGTAATGAATATTGTATGTACATGTTATTACTACCGTGGCGTGTCAGTCTCGCTCCAGTTCTGTCGCCATAAATAAGGCACCAACTAATTCTAACACTAATGACTTTTTATATATATATATATATATATATATATATGCATACCATGTTGAATTCATCTGCAAAGAACTTTCTGGCGACGGTAGATTGAATATACACCCAAATGTATGGATGATTTACCTTCATTCAAACCGGTAACTGACGATTTAAAGTCGTTAGAAAGCGTATCTAATATATATTACTCCTTTTTAAACCTCAAATATATCCTGTTTTAATCAGGTGTAAGCACCGAGCTATATTAGTGTTAGATGGTAATGTATTTTTCTATGAACTGGTTTAAATAAATATTTGTCTGTGATCACATTATTAGATTTTAACTGGAAACTAATTTCATAGAATTTATTTATTGGTCTACATAAATGTGTAGCGGCGTTTTGAAAAGCGCAGGGATTTGTCGTTTTATATTCTATCTGTAAAACTCCCGGCGGGTGTATACTATAACACTGCTACACTTAAATTATGGAAAAGAGAAGCTTCCGTTACCCTGTGTCAAGAAGACATTTTTTCCTTAATAGAAAGAAAAAAAGAAAAAAATAGACCAAAGCAACAACGTGAAGACGTCTAATAGTTCATATATGATGTCAATTAATTACAAATACAGACAGAGAAAGAAAGAAAGAGAAAGAAAGAAGGAGAGAGAAACAAACAAACAAACCAAAACGAAAGAAAGAAAGATAAACAAAACAAAAAGCAAGAAAAAATATTGTCATCGGATTATTACATAATGAAATTTGCCCAGTGTTACGGAACGAAACTGTTAACAAGGACTTGTCTTTGCTTAAAAAATCGATTTCTAAACTTGAAAGTGTTTCAATCTTGTAATCAAAAGAGCTGCACGATAGGGGGTAGTAACATATAGGGTTTGGTCATTGTTATAAAAGAAAGGGCTTTTAAAATGAATAGAAGTGTAAATCCCTTTCTTACCGAAGCCAATAACACTACGTTACTTTATTGCAGGTTGTAAAGCCAACACTAACGTTATTGACACAATTTCAAAGGAATCGTAAACTTTGCAAAGCAAATATTCAACAGACAAGACTGTATACAGTTGTATGGGTCTTTCTGTGTCACGCACTTCAACTTAACCAATTTAAAACCTATTATATCTTTCTAGAAGATTTAAAGAAGTATTATTACCGTTTCTGGCTTATAATTATATGCCCGACAATGATAAATTTTCTTTAAACCCCGTTCACGTGTTTCATGAAATGAGGCATGTTTCGTAAAACTCTGGTGGTTATTTATATTTTAACACCCTTTGTACTTTCATACAAATAACCCACAGTAGACGAAACAACTAGAGATACTGTCAACGTACACATTTTAGTGGTATTATAATTTTAGCACAATTCGCGGTTTTAGCGTTGCGCTAATTTATGTTTGGGCTTATTGAACATTCTGTTTATATAATGTTCTATAGCATGTACTGTCTGGCGCCAATTCAGGGATCAAGGCGCTAATCTGTTTAAATTCGATAATACGCTAAACAATTGTGTCCGCTAAAATATGTAATTTCACAGTATATGAACTTTTACGAACGGTTAGATAGCCATTCGCGCACTGTTCGGTCAAGTTGGTGACGTAGGTATCCTTGATGCCCAACAAGTTAAGCTCTAATTATTAGCCATGATAATCATTTATTTTTATCGACTGCCATAGCCTTTGTTTTCACTATTTATTTATCACATACCTGTTGAATCTTGTTATAGTAATACAAGCAGACTATGAAATACAAAGTTCTGTATTGAACATGTGTAATACGGAATGTTGTATTTACCTACTAGCCGGAACTACTTTTTATGGGAATCCCATTGTCATGGCGAACTGTCAAGTTCCCGGTGTTTGCAAGAAATATCAAAGCTTATGAAATCTGTGTATCGATCTCTACCAAATACGGAAGGTATGTGATACAAGCAAGACCACCCACTTGTGTTTTTCTAACGAATCAGAAAGCACTCATTTATTGCGCGGACGTATATATTCACTCGTGCGCTCCGAGCACTCGTGAATATATTCGTCCGCTCAATAAACTCGTGCTTTCTGATTCGTTAGAAAAAATACAAGTGTGTGGTCTTGCATATATAATAACCGGTTGATAGTATTACATTTGGCTAAATAGCCAGGAACTTTACCAGCGCGCTGTACAAATGTGAACATTAATTTTTTAACAGCGTGTTATATTTCCACGAACATTTACAAACACACTATGATGACTCGAAAGCTTGCAGAATAAGTTTTCAATTACTGTTTGTGTACAAAATCAACTAAGAATTCATTTATAGATAGCCAAATATCCATTAAAAGTTAACTACATGAACCTTTCACGAGTTCTCACAATCAGCCAGCTGACAATGACGTAGCCCTTTGATGGTATATATCAGTCATTCTTTGAAGTACTACCGCAATGCATGCTTAAAAAGCCTGGTGAATCGATAAATCACACGCGAGATTTACAGGTCAGACGAGAAGATCGATAAAGTTTAAATCTCTACCCCGAGTGTTTGGTTATATGGTTCTACGAAAAATCGGCATATTACTCTTTGGATGGTAAAGTGCGGTATCACTGCGCTTTTTCAGCTGACTGTCTCGTCAGTGTGTCTTTAATTTTGGTGCGTTCTTCCTACTTCCGTGCGCGTGCATTATTTTTCGAGAAATTGTGCACGTGCAAAGCTCTTCCAAACGCCTCCCCGTATTGCAAGTGTTAACAAGTGAGCTTTATGTGACTGGTCTGTGGCGAATTGCTCAAGTTGTCTAGTGAGGGAACACGTGTGAATGTACATATTTTAACGTTACACATATATCCATGTTAAAACAGGCTAAACAGTGGGTGAGCGGGTGGGGGTCGGAAAGGAAACTGATTTTGTTTAATAGATTTTACCCTGACTATTATCAACACATACTCCAGAACTATAACGCTAACATGGCACTTTAATTCGCTGAATTGGATGATGTTATACCATACGAAGCTTTTCATATACTAATATTTACCATATAATAACGTTTGTGCGAAGTCTGTTCACCATCGTGACTCTAACCGGAAATCAGACACTGTATTATAATACAATTTAAATTAGAATAGAGTACGGACAAGAATATACGGAAGTTTATTTTTTTTATATCAAAATGTGAATTTATACTTATTTGTTAATATATATGTAAGACGAATACTGATACTTGATAGAATATTTTGAACAGTATGTACATTATTTAAAAGCGATTATTGACGCCCATGTACATTGTATGTATATTTATATATATGTTTATGTCATAAAATTTTGAAAATACAATTAAAAACCCCCCCAAAACAGGCTAAACATGACGTCTGTTTGCAGCCTCAAAATCACGCCGGCAGTTTTGACCTCGGCTTTTGTTAAATTAGAACGAGGCATCACATGACAAATATTTACGCACACAAGGAAAATATTGATATAAATAATTACGTCGCCCTAGCCATGTTGTATATTTTCGGTACCGAAGTGGAGGAGGGAGCACAAGCTGTTATAATACAGAGCTACTGTAAAAGAGCGTGTCTGTTTGTCTAGCAGCAAAAATATGTCTATTCATTCCACTGTTACCAGTGAGATTCCTGATTTGACCAATCAAAACATTGTTGACAAACTACCAATCGAAAAAATAACCAATCAGAAAGCCTGACATTATACAAGTGGCCCAAATGCCCAAAGTCTGGTTAGCTTAACGATACACAGGCCTCGAGAAAAACCGTCTGGGATATCAGCCCATTCTACTGCCTAGAATAACGATCTCACACTTTTGAAAGATATCAAAATATTAGCCACACTCGTGAAATTTCGTTTTACTGAAGACCTTGTTAGAAATCCTTTATTCATTAAAGTACATGGTCATTTGTCTTGCTTTAACCGTTTCGCTTCTCTTTACTGGTGATAGAAATACAGTACTATTTGAACGGTTGTGAAATTAAAGGTCAATTACGCTTAGCTTTACGACCGGTCACGACCAATATCTGAAGAACAGTTTATTCTTTATAAATATAAATATAATGAAAATAATTTAGAATGCAAGTATCATCTACTTTTTTCTTTCTTTCTTTTCAGAAAGCCACAAACTTCCTCGAACACGGATGATGCGGGGTAGCCATGTCTAAGAGCCTTATATTATCTGAAATCAGGTGGTGGCGAGTCACGTGACAAACACTAACATGTTACATAAGACGATCAGAAAGATTATCGCCTTGGTCGCCATGGCGACATTTCTTGTGGTAGCGTATATGATCACGTGGTCCTATGACGCTAGATCGATTTTTCACAACAGTGATGCTCTACCACCCCAGAAAGAGGTGCCTATGTTGAAAATGGTGACATCACCAACTGGGCGTAAAACGTCACTACTTGAGAAATCTGACGATTACGTAGTACCCAATATTGTCCATTTCACATGGATTGGAGAATATTTACATTTACAGTTTCATCATTTTCTGAGTATAAAGTCAGCGGCCATTTTTATCCGCCCGGAACAAATCTATCTTCACTGTGACTATGAGCCTATTGGCAGTTGGTGGAAGGCCCTTCGGAAAATCGTCAACATTCAAGTCGTAAAAATAGACCCGCCAACTTCCATATTTGGTCATAGGGTGAAACGCCCAGAACACAAATCAGACCTTATAAGGTTAAATGTCTTAGAGGATCAAGGAGGGATCTTTCTCGAGAATGACGTCATTGTGTTAAAGCCATTTACGCCATTAAGAAAATATGCCTTTACGATGGGATTAGAGTATCATAGCAACCCGGGAAGGCTAAATAATGGCATAATCGTCGCTAAGAAAAATGCAACATTCTTGAACATTTGGCGGGAAACATATCGTAATTTTACGGAGCGAGAATGGGACGAACATAGTTCAATCATACCTTACCACTTACAATATCAGTTCCCGCACCTGATACACGTGGAGGAGAGGAGCCTGAACTATCCAAGCGGCCCCGACCGCCGGCTCATTTATCAGGATATTTACGATTGGGGAGACAACTATGCCATACATCTGTGGTATGATCTTCACGCGCTCACGCACTCGCCAAATGATATTAAGTCCATGAATACGACCTTCGGACAAATCGCGCGTTACGTGTATTACAACACCACGAAGTTAATGTGATAGAGTACCACGTCCTGTTAGCGGTAGAACCATTTAATACAACGAAGTTGATGCCAGTCGGAGCGATACAACATACCACGGATGCGCTTTAGCGGTATATGACCGTAGTTATTTAAAACGCGTTTTAATGCCCAAATTGTAAAGCAAAGGGAATAGGCAGAATTTATTACAACTTTTCATGGCTTTCCCCCATCATACATTTTCAATTATATGGTAACACTGTTAATAGGCACGATAATGAAATATATCTACATACACCTACACAGTTCAACCAGACTCTTGTTGTCTGTGCAAGTTAGGAAGTTTACGAAATGATCAAGCGTCTCGTTGAACGAGACTAAACGTTCATCGGATAACTCGGGGCCAATGCGCATGCCTCCATCGGGATGACAGCAAAGAAATGCCATATCCCGTATTGTAATAAACTAGTATGTATTTATTCACCAGTTCAAACAAATTATTTATCAAATAAAACTCAGCACACTGTGTTCAGATTACAGCTAACTGCAGCTAGCGCTATCAAATGGTTAACATAGATTGTACACCTATACTCACCCTGGGCCGTTTTCGTTTTTCGCTTTCCAAACGGTTGAACCGGTTGGACCAGAGTTGTTCGTTTATGAAATAAGGTCGGACCTAGTAATCTGATGCTGCTTTCATGCGTGTCTTGACAAAGCCTTGCAAGGCCTGTATAATCCTTTACATGTCTGCAGGATTTATACCCGAAAATGTTACATTTAAAAACGGACAAACCGGTTGTTTCGCATAAACGAACATGCCCTTATTTCTCAGATAAAGCACGTGCGCCTCGCGCAACGTCACATGATACACTCTTAACCATACAAACACGTCATGCGTGACCCTCACTATAACATAGTGATGACTGTAACATTGATAAAATTATTGCAAATATTTTTGCCGAATAAGTTTTTTTTTTTAAGTAAACCTCTACTGTGTTATCGTACGTGTGAGTGAAGTAAATGAAAGGCTCGCCAATAAGGATTGTAACGAAGTAACACCAGAAATTCAAGTATGAAAGCTTCATATTCTGACTTTCTTGGTTTAACCCACCCCCCTTGTAGCCAGACTAAAGGACCTGTCGCATTGACGTTCAGATGGGATATTCCTATCGGGCGATTATATTTGTTTCAATGTATGTCTGAGCGTTTATTGTTCACGTATAAAGTACAGTATTATAATTGGATACGTTATTACATATTTTCCCGTTACCTGATTGACAGTTTTCATTGAACAATAGATATACCTACATATGTATGTTCGATGTGTGAATGCATTTGTAGTACGGAAGCCGGTATGGGCCACCGAGAAAAAATGTCATAATAACGGCTTTCTCCCTCCTTTTAAGGACATGGCTATGTCGTAATAACAAGTTACTATCTCTGTGTCGTTATTTCTAGATGGTAAGTCGTTATTGCGAGATAGTGACTCGTTATTACGAGATAGTAAGACGTTACTACGAGATAGCATGTCATAAAAAAATTCTCGGTGTCCCTTATCAGCTTCCGTAGAATATTGACACGGCTGTAATTAATTTACACAACCGGAAGTTAACACGTCTGTTCACTGTGGTCTGACTACGTCACATGTTAGCTTTATCTCAATTACATAGAAAATATATTGTTTTTATATAAAATGTACATGTTTTAAAAAACGTTGGAACTTATTGAATAAAACGGTTACTGTTCTCTGTATTTGTTCGTCATTGTCTACATCGCGGTTGATTTCTGTTCTTCTGTTTTGACGATGAGCTTCATTTGTTTTACTCTGTGACGTAACAAATATATATTGTCTCTCAAATAATAAGATTTTTCACATTGTCGTTAACAAAAGCAACTTTTTTCACAATCATTAAAACCTCTCTCATTGCCGCGGTGGCGTAGTGGTTGAGGTGTCTGATCACCTATGGTCGCTGGCCCTCCGCCATTGAGTCGCAGGTTCAAGGCCAACGTGGGGTAGTCGCAAGGTATAGTACTGTCCACGGGTTGGTGGTTTTTCTCCGAGTACTCTGGTTTACCTCCACCACCAAAACCTGACCCGCAGTTAAATAATTGTCGCTGTTAATAGGACGCACACTCCACAAAACCCCCCACGTTTTACTAAACAATACACAGGTATATATACAATAAACTTTCTTTTTTAAAGTACCAAACGATGATTACTTACCTTTAAAGGGTCAACACGCAAACATTTTTGTATAGTTGTGGCCACCAGTATCAATTTGTGTAGTCAAAATTACAAAAAAACACATTCAATAGATTATTTTAAAGAATTCTTCTGCTTTCATTTTTTTTAACGTATGCTCAAACGATAATCCAAATGACCATCTAATGTCCAAACGATATAAACTTACCATTTTAAAGAAAATTCTGAGCTTGAGAAGGAATCAGGTGATAGTGAAATGATGCAAAGATTTTTACGAACATTCATTTCACGTTAGGTCCTTTTCCAATCGGATTCTACGTTCATTTTAAATTTTGAAAATGTCCTGCCTTCGTTTATAGCTTTTAACTTCAATTCATATCAAGTTTTGATAAAACTTGACCTTCTGTCGGAGAAATATCCCGTGGTCCCTTTGGGATGATATTCTCGAATGGGTTTTACTAAATTTAAAAACCCTTCGGTTGGAATTTCCCTATCCTACACCCTAGGGCATGAAAGTAATTTAATCATCCCTGGCTCAGTTATCGAGATATCACTTTTTATCCCAGAAAAAAAGTTATACTATGACGTCTTTCCCATTGACACAGTGTTAAAAAGAATTGCCGTATAAATATACTTTTGCCCAGGAACAATGGTCATTATTCTATGATAATACATTATATGTCTCTGATATTACTAAGAGAAGCACTAGATAATTTTATAGCTGAATTTCACCATTGGTTTACTTAAAACGAACTTTTCCAACGTGAATTACCATATAAACTAATGCTTTGGTTTGTTTGTGTTTTACGCCCTATTAACAGCTATGGTCATTGAAGGACGTGCCAGGTATTGGTGGTGGAGAAACGTCACGTAACGTCAAAGATTTATTGAACCTTACCGTACAATGCTTTACGGTGTAAAATGTAAAACTAAGATGCTTTATTTTTCACCATTTTTTTTATTCATCTTACTTTATGTTGACACACATCACATTTTGCCTTTCTAGAAGATATGATATACATCTTATTTGTCTTACCTGAAAGGATGCACAGGTAATTCCGACGAATTCCATATTTATCACAAGTCTCACATACATATGTAAATAAGTCGTTTCCGTGATAAGATAGTCGAGAACGTATGAAGACTGACCATCTGTTAATAGCAAGTCGTCGTGGCCGAGTGGTTAAGGCGATAGACTAGAAATCTATTGGGGTCTCCCCGCGCAGGTTCGAATCCTGCCGACGACGGAATATTTTTACCCCAAGTGACGCATATCAAATTTAACATTTTGAAAATGAACGATTTTTCAATATCCTATTTTCTCTTATAATTGATGAATAGAAACATCAAGCAAAATATCAGTGTAACAGTTAATGTTTGGCGGGAGATTTTAGTGGGAGTGTCCCACTGTGGGTACAGCGATGCTATAACAACCTGAAGTTCAGGGTTCGCAGGGGTGTTTCTAGGATATTTGAAAGAGGGGCGTAGAATCAAATCTTTCGGCGAGCGGAGCTAGACGAAAACAATTTTGGACCTTTTTTTTGCTAAAAAACATAAAATAATTGTGAAATGCACTAATGTAACGGTTCCTGACTTGGAGCATGTATATTTTATAGTTAAAGTGTCCCGGTTTGACATTTTTATGCCGAATTCTCTCCATTAATTGTCTATGGTATATTAAAATGATTGGATGGATCTTTACAGCAGTAGACCAATAACGAGAAATTCCAAATTCTAGGGTATAAGGCGTTACTTAACATTTCAATAGTCCTAGGCCAGGATTTTATGAACGGGAGGCGTAATTACGGTTGCCCTGGTAGAGGGTCCATGGGGAAGCTCAGAAGCTCCTGGATTTTAACAATTTAGCATCAAATTATGAAGTAGCCAGACTGATAAATATCTCTCTATTTTAGATTAAGTTCTGGTTTCGTTGAACGACACACATAATACAAGACAAACAAAGACTGAAGTATAAAGTTCTTTCGTCCTTAACATATTGTAGGCTTTAATGTGGAATACATGATTGAATATGATAAATTGCCATATTCAATTTATTTAGTTTTTGCAGTGACAGGGTTTACGCTCACCTACGCTCTCTACACGTGTAGAGAGCGTAGCTGAGCGTAACCCCTGGATACCGAGGATGACCTGGAACGAATTTACTCTGAACCGTGTAATCATCTTTCGATCAATGGGAGGTTGGGGTGTCAATTTTACCGAAAGTCGATCTAAATCCCTAAAACATGTAAAATTACTCTGAACACATTAGTTTAGGTCCAAATAGAGCTGTAACAAATTATCAGGTCCCTGTGATACAAATAACATGCTAGGCACAATATAGAACATACCACAGAAAACTAATTAAAATAAATTACAATAAAATCTGTCCCTGCTGTATAAGGGAGATAAAAACAAACTTTTCCAAAACTTTTTTCATTAACTTTTAAGTTTCAATAATTATTTATATTGCATGCAGCCATTCACGATATCATTACATGGAAGTAAGTCATTTTACCTGGCATTGTACAGGTTATGCCGATGGAAACCTAATTAATTAATTTACAACACACCTTTATCTAAATACAATGTAACGTTGATGAGATAGTTGATGTGATATGAAGATAGAAGCGTCCAATATATCAAGTCGTCGTGGCCGAGTGGTTAAGGCGATAGACTAGAAATCTATTGGGGTCTCCCCGCGCAGGTTCGAATCCTGCCGACGACGGAATATTTTTTTTACCAGTTACGTGTAATAAAGACAATAATTTTAGTCTGATTTCCCCCTCAAACCCCATCAATTAAAAACAGCCAGAAAGTTCTCGGAACAGTGACATCTTCTTTCGATCAACGGGAGATAACTCGTCAGAGTGTGAAACACATGTATTGCACCACATTACATAGTCCTAATCAAACATGATAATTAACCATCACGATTTTGGAGACCTTTATCTTCAACGACGTTAAAATAATACATAGAGAAACCCGTATGATACTACCCTTGGAAAACATTATTCCTGTGTCCGTTCTGTGAAATAAATTGTCATTAAATATAAAGTCACAATGGAAAAATAACGTTACATAGCATTGTAACTTGACATCATAATTAGAAGATAGACCAATGAAATGACGTGTTACCTGAAAGTGAGTAACACGACATTTTAACCAGTTTATCTAGTTTTAACCAGTTTATCTAATGTGTTGGATTGAAAAAAAAATCAATTTTGGTTGTGGGAGTGAGGAAACCTATAATTGGTTTGGGAATGATGAAATATATGGTAATTACGGGAGTAAGGGAATCAATAGCAGTGATGGGAGTGATGAAACCTATAGCAGTTATGGGAGTGATGAAACCTATAGCAGTTATGGATGTGATGAAACCTATAGCAGTTATGGGAGTGATGAAACCTATAGCAGTAAAGGGAGTGATGAAACCTATGCAGTTATCGGAGTGATGAAACCTATAGCAGTTATGGGAGTGATGAAACCTGTAGCAGTTATAGGAGTGATGAAACCTATAGCAGTTATGGGAGTGATGAAACCTATAGCTGTTATGGGAGTGATGAAACCTATAGCTGTTATGGGAGTGATGAAACCTATAGCTGTTATGGGAGTGAAGAAACCTATAGTAGTTATGGGAGTGAAGAAACCTATAGTAGTTATGGGAGTGATGAAACCTATAGCAGTTATGGGAGTGATGAAACCTATAGCTGTTATGGGAGTGATGAAACCTATAGCTGTTATGGGAGTGATGAAACCTATAGCTGTTATGGGAGTGAAGAAACCTATAGTAGTTATGGGAGTGAAGAAACCTATAGTAGTTATGGGAGTGATGAAACCTATAGCAGTTATGGGAGTGATGAAACCTATAGCTGTTATGGGAGTGATGAAACCTATAGCTGTTATGGGAGTGATGAAACCTATAGCTGTTATGGGAGTGAAGAAACCTATAGTAGTTATGGGAGTGAAGAAACCTATAGTAGTTATGGGAGTGATGAAACCTATAGCAGTTATGGGAGTGATGAAACCTATAGCTGTTATGGGAGTGATGAAACCTATAGCTGTTATGGGAGTGAAGAAACCTATAGTAGTTATGGGAGTGAAGAAACCTATAGTAGTTATGGGAGTGATGAAACCTATAGCAGTTATGGGAGTGATGAAACCTATAGCTGTTATGGGAGTGATGAAACCTATAGCTGTTATGGGAGTGAAGAAACCTATAGTAGTTATGGGAGTGAAGAAACCTATAGTAGTTATGGGAGTGATGAAACCTATAGCAGTTATGGGAGTGATGAAACCTATAGCTGTTATGGGAGTGATGAAACCTATAGCTGTTATGGGAGTGATGAAACCTATAGCTGTTATGGGAGTGAAGAAACCTATAGTAGTTATGGGAGTGAAGAAACCTATAGTAGTTATGGGAGTGATGAAACCTATAGCAGTTATGGGAGTGATGAAACCTATAGCTGTTATGGGAGTGATGAAACCTATAGCTGTTATGGGAGTGATGAAACCTATAGCTGTTATGGGAGTGAAGAAACCTATA